TGCATCAAGTCAATACAGTAATATAGTGCTGCCATCTTTAATCAAATGAAAGTATCATCCACATACCTTGGTGATGAATCTCTTTATGGCTGGATATGGAGCTATGACATCTAGGAAAGGCCTCATAAACCTGGACTTCTGTATTCTTGATGCTGCTAGACCTATGAAGTATGTTCCTGCGCTAGTAGCTTTAATATTATCAGGATACCCTGGGAGATTGTCCGTAAAGATCTCACTTGTGCCAGCTTTTGGACCTCGCAGAAAATATCTGGAATGGATGTATGTGGTCAATATTTTAAACCAAATGTAAGGGTTAAATCAATGATATTGATACTTAATGAGGTATTGTTCGCAAAAGATGAAGCCAAAATAAATCTGTAAAGACTTTGATTATGGAGAACTTAGAAGCAGTTTTTGCAATTACTCAACATACAATTATTATACATACAGCATATACAATAAGATACAATTATTATATTTTGAATTAATGAAATGTACTAAAGATTACAGATTACTGTACCTAGTAATTCTACATATGTTTAATTCAGAGACCAGTAAAAAGTCTTCATGTGGAGATAGGCTTACTCCATTAGCTATGTGCAGTCCTGAAAGTAACACCCTAGCTTCACCACTAGCAGGTTGATACTCTATAAGACGTCCCAGGGCATTGTTTTCTATAATCTGAAATATGTTTTCAGTGTTTATTATGTTTTTCAACCTGTATTTGTTGCATATCCTTTCTGTTCTATGCAAACTTTAATCATACTTCAAATCAATTATAGAATCTCTTCAACTTGGAAGATGGTTCATTATTTATTTTTTGATATTGTATTGAAAAGTGAAATCACGCTTTTATTCATGTAATATTATTTAACACCATACCAAATGAAGACATATACCTTAATATAACCTTGCCTTGTTTACATATTGTTAAAAAATAACAATTTGGTTTTGTTAATCTAATTTTGTAAAATGCCCTTTTTATAAATGTCACCCAATATCCTGGAACGATTGTCATCATTCAAATCTCATTTTAACTTTATGTGCTGGTTTCATACCTCTTTCGTTTGAAAAAGCAAGAGTTACCTCATATTTATGATTGCGCCTGTCCCACTTGCTGGAAGAATCCATGAAATAGAGCTGTCCACTCAGAGATATTGTCATCCCATTTAGGAATTTAAATGGAATCCCATCCAAACCTTCAAAAAAAATTCACAAATTGAATAACACATTACACATGCCGATATACAGTACATATATCTCCTAATAGTTTTCCAGAATCTATAAATCACGGTAGAATTCAACAAGGCATTAACATGTAAAACGTCACCACCTATCATTTGTGACAGACACCAAATGTTGAACGCTAACCATTACACATCAAACATCAACCACCGAAAGCCAAACACCAAATGCACTACAAAAACAGCTGGAGACTATAACAATATGTCATCAGTTCTAGTAGAAACATATTTATAAACCCAGGTCTTACCATTGTATGATCCACACCAAGACTATACCTTGGAACAGTCAGACCAGCTCAAGAATTAGACAAGGCATTAATATGCTAAATTGCCATTTGCCACCACCTTCCATTTGTTACAGACACCGACCAAAACACCAACCGCCAAGCACCATCCATAAAAAAGTTGAAAACTGTAACAATATGTCACCATTTGTGGTAGTGACATAAAAAAGGAGATCTTACTGTATATAATATATACGTATAGGATATCCTATGATTTTGAGGGATACCATTTTTATCCACGAGTTGATATCAATATCTGGATGAGTGAGCGTAGCGAATGAGTGCAGATATTGATATTAATGAGTGGATTAAAAGGATATCTCGAAAAAAAGCATAGGATGTTCTAATTATCCCATAGTTGAGGTCAAATCATCCCATTGTTCACCTTCCAAAGCATTTCACAACAACATTCAGTTTTATTTGTCTTAACTATAGCCAAAACATTAATCATTTCCATATTTGTGACGTCATGAAATGACCATGTAAGCATATAACATGTAACCATATAACAATGCACGTCACATTGGCAGGAGTTTTCAAATCCGTGGAAAAAAGTGATATTTGTGGAATAATCTCCGTATTCCACAGATTACTTCTATAAGGTTCTACAACTAATAAGGAAAATATATTTCACTACTTCAATAAGACATTGGTTTATTAGGTACGATGCACAAAAACCATAGCCTTGGGACTTGATTCAAAATCAGCTGTTATTGCAATTTTAAATACATTTTACTATATGATTAGCCTTATTAGTGTATGTTTTTACTATATAAAAAGTACCCTAAACGACTTTTTCAATGGTAATTTAACATGGGAATGGTACTATATACCAAGTTAATATAGGGGAGGGGTCAGTTCAGTGTCTTATATAACTCGGTAAATAGTACCCAAAACGACTTTTTAAATGGCAATTTAACATGGACTGGGTACTATTTACCGAGTTAATATAGGGGAGGGGTCAGTTCGGTGTCTTATATTAACTCGGTAAATAGTACGCAAAACGACTTTTTCAATGGCAATTTAACATGGGCTGGGTACTATTTACCGAGTTAATATAGGAGAAGGGACCAGTTCAGTGTCTTATATAACTCGGTAAATAGTACCCAAAACGAGTTTTTCAATGGCAATTTAACATGGGCTGGGTACTATTTACCGAGTTAATATAGGAGAAGGGACCAGTTCAGTGTCTTATATAACTCGGTAAACAGTACCCAAAACGACTTTTTCAATGGCAATTTAACATGGATTGGGTTCTATTTACCGAGTTAATATAAGACAACTATTTACTTTTTATATAATATATATCATTCTTAATTGCCCTTAATTCTAAACAGTAATTTATTTGAGGGGCCTTATATAAAAAAGGGGCATGGTATTTTGGGGGGGAAAAGAAAAAGAAAACTAAAGAAATATAACGATTTTAATTTGGGTACTATTATAATAGTACCCAAAGCCGACTTTTTCAACAGCAATTTGACATGGGTTGGGTACTAAATAAATAATACATATTGTTGTTTAATATTGGATAATAAAATAATAATAATACCAAAAAAATAAATAAATAATAGAGAATAAAAAAAGAACTATTTTAATTTGGGTACCAAATTAAAGTACCCGTTTCAAATTACTTCTTGAAGGTTCTACAACTAATAAGGAAAATATATTTCACTACTTCAATAAGACATTGGTTTATTAATTATTTTATGGAAAAATTATTTTTGGGTACTATTTAAATAGTACCCACGCAATGTTAAAGCAACATTTAAAAATAAGTATTGGGTACTACTAAAATAGTACCCACGCAATGTTAAATTACCATTGAAAAAGTATTCCTGGGTACTATTATAATAGTACCCAAATAAAATATTTTATATTACTTTCATTTTCTATATATTTAGCCCCAAAAATACCATGCCCCTTTTTTATATAAGGCCCCTCAAATAAATCCCTCTTTAGAATGAGAGGCAATTAAGGATGATAAAAAATAAATTGTACCCAACCCATGTTAAATTGCCATTGAAAATGTCGATTTGGGTACTATTTATCGAGTTAATATAAGACACAGCAGTGAATAATTTACTAAAATATCCACATATCTAAACCAATAACCCCTGATAACATCAGCAAAATAGTTTTATAAAAAGGACCCCTTAGAATGATTGCAAACTTAAAAAACTTTTGGGTACTATTTACCGAGAATGCCCATGTTTCACATTCAAAACATGTAATCAGTTTTCAAACTTAAAAAAAAACTTTTGGGTACTATTCAAAACATGTAATCAGTTTTCATGAAGGTAGTTCTGCATAATGAGTATTTTCATGTAATTTTATGATTGCAATGACCATTACTTAACGAAATAGGTAATATTTTAAAAATTTATCTGGACATATCTTATCATTTTCAAGTCATTTCATATCTTTTAAAGGCATGTTTTAAAGAATGTTCAACATTCTCTGGCAAAATAAGGACTTACTTTTTGACTTCATAGTATTTCCAATGGATTGATAAGTACTTTATCTTTAATGGAGTCCAAAAATAGCTCAAACCCCCACATCAAAGCTTACAATAAAAATTATCAAAAAATACTTTTGACTTGTCAAGTTTTATCATGGGCTTACGCATAGTGAACATGTTTTTTGATCCTACACCATAACATCAAATTCAAAAGAGTTGACTCGTACATGTGAAGCACATAAATAAAACTGACAGCAACGTTATAAATTGTTTAGATCTTTAAATGAGGAATATAAAGGCTATTATGTGTACTAAGAAAGCGACTAGGCCCGAAGGTATCTGGAAAACTGACACAAATCACCTTACAGTAAGCACTGTCAATATATCAGCTAGAGTACCTTTTGGTCAAAGCTAAGATTATAACACATTTTGGGATTATAACACTTTCCTTGGTTTGTAAAGACGACTTAACAATAATGTTGCAACGTTTCCATATTCGTGAACTGCAGTTGTTTCCAGTAAATAACATTACAGCAGTATGTAATATTTTACTGAAAAATGAACATTTTATGGAAGGTTTGCATGCAAATGTCAAGTGAAATTTGATGTAATCGACACAAAAATCATTGAGAAAAATCCACAATCAATAATGTTTTGTTCTCTCTGCAGAGCAATAAGGGAAATTAAGGCTGAGATAACGATGAAATGGTTATGACCGTATACCTACACAAATATTATTGACAAAACAAGAATGGAATTTAAGGCAGTGATAACCAGCGGTGTTTCTTTGGCAATCTTGCTTTTGTACATATACATAATTACCAGCATTGACAAATATGGAAGTTCAGACCTTCCAGCTTTTAAAAAGCCAATAGAAAGCAAGCAGATTCATGACGGAAGAATAAAAAATTCTGAAAAACAGTATAAGAGCACATTGGATAATAAGAACCAATGGAGTTTTCCACAAGAAAGGCTGGAAATCAATACAGCACTAAAGACTAGACACAGAGGAGTTTTTTATCTAAAAGTTAACAAAGCAGGGAGCTGCACACTTCAAGCAATGTTTAATAAATATGCTGATAAACACAACCAAATTGTTGGAATGCCATGTAGTAATTCTGGTGGTGAGAGACACTTGGTGGGATGGCCTGAACCATTTAAACCAGAACATTTAATCCCTCTGAGCAAGAACTACACATATTGGGAACATCTAAATGAGCATATAAAATACAGTTCAAAAATTAAACAAGTTATGGCCCCAGGGAGTGTTTTCATTGCATCAATCCGTGAACCACTTTCACATTTCTTTTCATATTATAACTTTTACCAGATGGAGAAAACCTATAAAGGATATCTCAAAGAGCCTAATAAATTCAAATATTTTTTAGATAACATTAAAACTATGCGGCACCTTGAACTGATCCATCACATGCCTCCTAGTAACCCAATTGCACAATGTTTTGGAATCAAACAGGAGGAACAATATAACATCACAGCAATACAAGAAAAAATCAATGAAATTGAAATGGAGTTTGACTTAGTGATATTAGCTGAGTTTATGGATGAGAGTTTGATTTTGTTGACTGAATGCTCAGATTTAACAATCGAAGATGTGGTCATCTTAAAAAATGCAAATGTGAAGAACATTAAAAAATCCAAGCCAATTTTAACTCCTAATGAATATGAGAACTTAATCCAATGGAACTTAGCAGATTCAATGATATACAATCATTTTAATAAAACTCTATGGGAAAAGATTGACAATTTTGGTCGTCACAAAATGGCTATAAAAATCTTAGAACTCGATATGGCTAAATCAATAAAGCAGAAAGAATGTGACTCAGTTAAGAGGAAACCTAATTTGAAAAGAATAGAAGATTTAAAAATAAAACATGACTGTATGATCCCAAACCTAAATCATGTAGGTGCTGATAAATATTTCAGGAATAAGATGACTGAGAAAGGAATCTATGATATTGAAAAGGCTCAAAAAACCTGTAAATATCCTCCAAATAAACATGGGGAGTAACATAAAAATGTGAGAATATATAAACCTTAAAGATTATTAAAAGTTTATGAGAGACCAACTGGATTACTGTATCATTTTTTACATAAACTTATACATTATATTTTGAAAATGTGATATTTTGACGACAAAAACTGATTTCTCTACAACAAAAATGTATATGAGCATTTGATCAGACAATTGCCAGTTTTAACTAAATTGCCCAAAAACTGTTCACAGACAAACAGACAGACAAGCGAGTCATTGCAATAGCTCTCTAACTGAGCTAAAATCAACTCTTTATAATGACAATAAAAATGTTGTTCCAAAAGGAATTGACTAATTTAAAAAAGTAAACTATGTAATACTTGTACAAGAAAGTATTAGTTTTATTGACTAAATATGATAAAAATCATCATACTTTGAACAAAAAATAATAGTACAATAACGTCATTTCTAAGGGCAATATAGTGAAATATTGGACCGAGGGCTATTCTAGACCGGTCCATATGGACCACTGCTATGACGTCACACATTTCTCAGGTCGATATAGTAAAATGAATGCCTTCTAAACTAGCACTAAAACCCCTAGAACTGGCCCGGCAAGGTGGTAATAATACAGATTATAATCACATATCTGAAATAAACTTGAATTCAACTTAAAGGTGCAACAATTAGTGCAGAGGGACCATCCAATAATCATGGACCAGTGTCATAATATATTCAAGTTTGGATATTTCATCAAGACTAACATATATCGTCCCTCTAGTATTAAAAGGTTCTGTAATGACCCGAGGGCGTCCCAGGGGAATAACTAATTAACTAACGACTATAATATGCATAGTGTAACAAGCCAGATAAAGAAATTGAAAGAAAGTGTGCTAAATTCAATGCCCCGTGTGGGAATCGAACCTAGGACCCTTGGATCCAAAGTCTGATGCTCTACCAACTGAGCTAAAGAGGCTTAAGCCACTACAGCTGGACTGTAGTAGCAACTTGCTATCGAGGGTCGTTACACTATCTCCCCCTTTGAAAGGTTCTGTAATGACCCGAGGGCGTCCCAGCAGTGACTACCATATACACAAGGGCGCAAAGGATACAACCAATGCTCTGATCCAACATCTGACACCAATGTAATGACCCGAGGGCACCCCAGGGGAATAACTAATTAACTAACGACTATAATGAGCATAGTGTAACAAGCCAGATAAAGAAATTGAAAGAAAGTGTGCTAAATTCAATGCCCCGTGTGGGAATCGAACCTAGGACCCTTGGATCCAAAGTCTGATGCTCTACCGACTGAGCTAAAGAGGCTTAAGCCACTACAGCTGGACTGTAGTAGCAACTTGCTATCGAGGGTCGTTACAGTTCTATGTCCTCATGTTCCATATTTGAGAAAACTGAGAACAAACATTTAGGTTCCTCTATCTTTGTGATACAGTAAAATAGAATGACATGAATGCTTATGTATCATATACAGCCAAGATGAATCATTCCTGATCAGGATAGCAAGAAATGCCAATGTTTAAGGCTACTTTTTAAAAAAAATGGGGCAACATTTGGCTTAACATCTTCTTTGACATACCTATTTTCTTTAAATATATGGATAAATCATCAATTCCAGCATAAGAAGTGTAAATTCAGTCCAAAGCTTCTATAAAGGGAGTCCCACTTATATGGATTTTTATGATCCACCATGTTTGAAGGGGAATATCAGGTGAACTAATGTTCATCAAGGGGGTTTCTTTAAAGATAATGAAAATATGATGTACTGATGTGAGGCTTGATGAAATATCCAAACAAAATATATTTCGAAACTGGTCCATGATCGTTGAATGGTCCCTCTGTACTAATTGTTGCACCTTAAAAGAAGCAAGCCACACTATTGCGAAGGGTAAACTTTTATATATCCAGAGCAAACATGATAAGGCATGATAACATCTTCTGCTTTAAAAGGAGGATGGCATTTTTGTGTAAAATTCAGACGCTCCTGCAAAGGAATAGATGACACATCTTGTAATGCTCATAAAGGTGCATCTAATTCAGCTAGTATATCTGAACCTTCCTGTGGGGCTGCTCCATGGAGTAAGGTTTTACTATGCAAAAGGACATTCATCCAGATAAAAAAGTTATGCAACATTTAAGATTGTGTGGGTGGGTGTCATTTTGTCTGTGTCACACTGTATATACTTAGTAATTAAATGTAAAAAGGTTTTATTTCCAATTTGAATCATGACATTGATTCGAATGTTAAAGAGTTTTATCTCAAGAGATAGAACCATGTAGCAGTAATTATCTTTTTCAAATGAAGGACATAGAACCTTATTGCTTTAGATACAGCTTTATAACCTTAAGTTTGAAAAGAGCATGGTGAATTTAGGGGGAATCCACTTTCACATGCATTTGACCCATATTGGTAGTTAGAACCTTATAATAGTGAAGAAACCTTCTGGATGAACATTATTTCAGGTGGTATTCCTCTTGAAACGTGATGGATCTTAAAAATCTATAAGTGGGACTTCCTTTATAGAAGCTTTGAACTGAATTTACACTTCTTAATGCTGAAATAGATAGTTTATCCATACATTTTAAGAAAATAGGTATGTCAAAAAAGATGTTAAGCCAAATGTTGCCCTGATAGCTCAGAAAAATTTTGAATTTTTTCTCTACGGACCTAGTTGCCCCTTTAAAGAGAGTTCAGCAAAATGCTAAAGACAATTTAAGTCTAACTGACTACAAAATACTCGCGTTCTGGAACTTCTGAAATGGAGAACTTAATAATTTATAAGTTAAAATTCCTAGCAAGAAAAGGTAGACTGAAAACCCATCTGATGAAGCCACATAGATTGTTCATATGTCCTTATTTTAATGATATCCTAATCAATTAAATTTTATGATGATCTTTGATGTCCAGTGCTTTTTTCCTTTTACTAATGAATACAAATGTCTTTTACACAGAGGGTTTTTATTAAAATACATTCCACAAGATTCTTGACACCCAGTAGGTAGTAGGTTGAAGGTTGTAGGGTCGAAGGGTTTACATTCCAATATTCGGTTATATGAGACATACTTGTAATTACAGGAATAACAAATATACATGTATGTTCATCTTGCTCACTGTAGACACAACATGAGGATGAACGGAAAGAGAGGTTATTTAAATTTGAATTTTCTGTTTCGATAAATCTGATACAGGATTTTGGCTGATACGAGATCCTATACAGAATCTGATACAGGATTTTGGCTGATACAAATCCTATACAGATTTTGGCTAGGAAATCCAATACAGGATCTGATTCAGAATTTTGGCTAACACAGGATCTGATACTCATCCATCAACTAGTATTTGAGTTATGCTCTGGAGAGACTGAGAGATGGTTGAAGGGCTTCACTATATTTCCCTATCTAACGTCTTTCATTGGGATAAATCTGTATGTCAGTAAGCATAGTACTATAAGTGAGCAGCAAGAATATTGTACAGAAACAATACATACAATGTACAAAGTGCATTTGATGCAACATTTATTTTGAACTTGAAGTTCAATAAAAATTATTGTTTTATAAAGCTTGTTGTATAGCTCTTGAAAAGATTATTTGATAAATAATATTAATTAATACAAGAAGTAACTTCAGAATGTTTAGATTGTCACTTCTGGAGTAATACAAGTCATACCCCTTTCAAGAAAATAAAGATGTCTAAATTTATATCGCATATTTTGTCTTCAATTTTTCAGGATCGATAGTGTAAAAATTGTAAGGGAATACATAGTTTCATAAATCATTTCATAGTCTTTCTAATATACATATTTCTTATCAGTAAAATGATCAAATTAATACTATAAACATATGCATTAAATACACAAGGTGCAGGGTGAACAATTTGGAAATGGCCACCAAATTCATGAATTGTCATTAGACAGTGTGATAAGTATTTATATGAAATGTTTCTCATTACAGCAAAATGTAAAATACATAAAAATGGCCGCCATTTTTAAAATGACTGCTTATTCGTAAAATTGTCATTAGACAGTGTATATATCAAAATGTAAAATAACACAAATAAAAAGGGCAAACATTTTTTCAATGTATCCATTTATCAGATTGCTCGACTACTTTTCCACTTTAAGCAAAAACTGTTGACAGACAGACTGGCGTAGGGACATATATACATACATACATACATACATACGGTGCCATTCTCAATATCCCCCAATCTGTTCGATGGGATAATTAATCAGGATCCATAGGACCATGTTAATAGGCAAGATCTAAATAAACAGTACATAAATTCAGCATGAACTGGCATTTTAAAAATGGATCAATTTCATGTTACATTTGATTTCAAATCTGCCATGCCTATAACGCCAATGTAATCTGTCCCAAAATGTCCGAGGTAAACTTTGCCATCATGCTCAAATGCCTCGCTACAGGCAGATATAACCGCACCATCTGGATCGTGAAAGCTGTCCACAATGTTACCTTGCTGGTCGACTTCAATAAAAAGGACGTGTTTTGGGATGAACAAGGCGTACACCGATAGAGGAGTAATCTGGAACAATCAAACATTACACGTGTATAAATTATTATGATGAATAAAATGAACAAAAATGAATAAATAAAGAAATATATTTATTATCAAGACAGGATAATTTTAAATTGATGTATTATATAACTTCAGCTAATCATACATGTAGCCAGCTTTTGGTGGAGGGGGGGGGGCTAAAACTATGGGTGCTACAGGCCTACCTCTGATATGATATTTCACACTGAGGCCTTTTGCAACTTCTTTTTCAATGCAAGAAAATAATTAGATTATCATTATCATATTATCACCAGAAATCATACATTGTTTTTGACAGTTAAACACACCCCTCATGTCTAACCCAATCACAATGAGACTACAGACACACATAATAAAACAATATGAACTAGGCCTTTGGCCATTGAATTAATACATGATTGTTTATTACTGTTTTATATCAACCTGCCATTGTTGAGTAATCCTCATAAGTTACATCTCTGAATTAATTAAAGTTACCCTTCAGTTAGACTACTTTGGGAAAAACAATATTGCAGGTGTTAATATTGAAACAATTATTTAGGATGTAGGACTATGAGCCAAGGGGGATTAGGGTGAGGACTTTAAAGTCCAAGAGGGGGCCCACGGGCCAAGTGGATAGTATATAAGGCTGATGCTGAAGTCAGTTTATCATTGAATCCTCTCAACTGACTCTAGGTAAGTTTAATATATAACGACACAAATGTTTTTATAACTAACTATTTTAAATAAGTAATATATTAATATAAATTTTCGATTAAATAATAAAATCTGAAAAATTCTCTTTTGAACTTGTTACTTATCATCTGCAGAATAGTTGCATTGTCATTCAAATATCAATGTGAAATAGGGGAAATATTCCTAATTTGTATAAAAAATGTCCATTATGATTTTACTTAAAATGTAATATCTATTTTCTGTTGTTTTAGACATCAAGAATCATGAACGGAATTGCTGTTGTCATCCTTGCTTTGTGTGCCGTAGCTATGGCAGCTCCAAGCTACCACCATGGTCGTCATGGCAACCACTTTGGTCATCATGGCAACCACCATGGTCATGGATATGGTAAGTTAAACAAAAAGCTCAAAGTGATTCAATTTCAAATAATTTGGAAAATGAATGAGTGATGACAATTTACTATTCATGCCAAATTCAAAATGATCAAAAATACTTGAATTTGCAATTGTTACAATTACTACTGCAAAGAAATACTAAAATATAATTCAATGAAATGGCAGGATGTACTGTTTTCTAATTTCAGGATATGGGGATGAGAACCGTGATGGAGTCCCAGATGCTCTTGATGCCAACCGTGATGGCAAGATAGATTCCTACGCTCATGGACACCACGCTCAAGGACACCACGCTCACGGACACCACGCTCACGGACACCATGCTCATGGACATGTTGCTCACGGACACCATGCCAACAGCTATGGACACCATGATGCCCACCATGCTCATGGACACCAGTCATACGGACATGTTGCCCACCACTCCACCAGCTATGGCCATCATGGACATCACGATTCCCATCATTATTAAACCACGGCTTGGACTACACAGGTTAGACTTATGACATTCACGTATATATAAATCCATGATTCCCATCATTATTAAACCACAGCTTGGACTACACAGGTTAGACATATGACATTCACGTATATATAAATCCATGATTCCCATCATTATTAAACCACGGCTTGGACTACACAGGTTAGACTTATGACATTCAAGTATATAAATCCACCACAGATTTACCTAAATTATCCAAATGATAAATTAGACTACACAGGAATAAGCTGAAAGTAATTTTCCTCTCATATTGCATATACCCTATCAAAATGATGATATTTATAGGATATCCTATGATTTTGAGGAATATCATTTTTATCTACGAGGTGATATTGATATCTGCACGAGAGAGCGAAGCAAACGAGTGCATATATCAATATCACCGAGTAGATTAAAATGATATTCTGAAAAAAATCATAGGATGTTCTTATTATCCTACACTTACAAGGTGTGTACTGAATGTATGATATCATTGTAAAATTAATTTCATGCCTAATAGAGTCAATTTGGCGGGAAATCAACAAGCGGAGTATATCGTCACAATATCCTCCGCATATTGGGTTTTCCGGAGTATATCGTCATGATATCCTCCGCCCGGAGTATATCGTAACGATATCCTCCGGATATTCATTTTGCCAATAAATATCAAATTTATTTTTTCATGTTATTATACATTTAGTACACTAAGTGTAGGATAAATTGGCATATCTTGGTAAATGAATAAAAGCAAGGAGCTTATGTCTCTCAATAAAATCAGGATTATGTTACATGAATTCCTTGACTCAAAGGTTCAGCATGACCCCAGTGATCTTCCAACATTGAACTAAATGGGGAACAAACTAAAATGAGATTCATAAAAAACAACATTGAATTGTCAGTTGAAATTCATTTGCACCCAGTTGATTTCAAATTGTCACTTCTTCTTCAGAATAGTCACATGATATACTGTACATAATATATTTTATTATAGATTTTAGAAAAAATACATAAAGGAGCATATAAAATATATTTGAATTTTTGTATTTTCAGGAGCTTCCAGGGATTCATCTAAAGACACCAGTGTTAGGGATCATCAGGAAGATCCTATGAAATATACTGTTATTTTTACAATAAAATGACCTGATATTGAGAATCAATATAATAAGTTTTGTTACATTACAAGTTACATGTTATAGAGTAAATTGAGAATTCAAAATGTTTTGAATGTTTTATTTCGTGAAAGGTCATCCAAAAATACATTTTAACTGAACTTTGCTAAACGATGCATTACAACACAATGCAAAATAAAACACAAGAATACACCAGAGGGACCATACTGTACTAAAAGACTACAATCTAAGCAATCCAATATTTATCCAATTAACACTAACATTAATACAAGATTTTAACCATTGTGGTATACTGTATACACACCTGAATACCCTGACAACAGTAAAGTCCAATACCGTTGTAACAAATGGCCGCCATAGGGTCATATTCGATTTGATTTTCATTAACTGCTTCTTCATTCATTTAAATAATGAATGTGGACTTTTCACTAAACTAATTTGTGATTACATTGGCCAATTGGGTATAGGTAATAATGAAATGACATATGCGACTCAGAACATTTCAGACATGCACCAAGTCATTGTTCAATACACTAATATAGTGCTGCCATCTTTAATCAAATGAAAGTATCATCCACATACCTTGGTGATGAATCTCTTTATGGCTGGATATGGAGCTATGACATCTAGGAAAGGCCTCATAAACCTTGACTTCTGTATTCTCGATGCTGCTAGACCTATGAAGTATGTTCCTGCACTAGTAGCTTTAATGTTATCAGGATACCCTGGGAGATTGTCGGTAAAGATCTCACTTGTGCCAGCTTTTGGACCTCGCAGAAAATATCTGGAATGGATTGTATGTGGTCAATATTTTAAACCAAATGACATGGTTAAATCAATTATATTGATACTTAATGAGGTATTGTTCGCAAAAGATGAAGCCAAAATAAATCTGTAAAGGCTTTGATTATTGAGAACTTAGATGCAGTTTTTGCAATTACTCAACATACAATTATTAAACATACAACATATACAATAAAATACAATTATTGTACTTTGAATTGGTGAATTCACAAACTATTATAGTGAGGATGCAGTTTGTCATAAATGAAGAGAAATGTACTAAAGATTACAGATTACCTTGTAATTCTGCATATGTTTAGTTCAGAGACCAGTAAAAAGTCTTCATGTGGAGACAGGCTTACTCCATTAGCCATGTGCAGTCCTGAAAGTAACACCCTAGCTTCACCACTAGCAGGGTCATACTCTATAAGACGTCCCAGGGCATTGTTTTCTATAATCTGAAATATGTTTTCAGTGTTTATTATGTTTTTCAACCTGTATTTGTTGCATACCCTTTCTGTTGTATGCAAACTTAAATCATACTTCAAATCAATTATAGAATCTCTTCAACTTGGAAGATGGTTCATTATTTATTTTTTGATATTGTGTATTGAAAATTGAAATCACGCTTTTATTCATGTAATATTATTTAACATCATTACAAATGCAGATACAGTCACCATCCATATGAACAAGTATTTTAATGTAACCTTGCCTTGTTTACATACATGTATTGCTAAAGAATGATAATTTGGTTTTGTGAATCCAATTTTGTAAAATGCCTTTTCTATAAATGTCACCCAATATCCTGGAACGATTGTCATCATTCAAATCTCCTAACTTTCTGTGCTGGTTTCATACCTCTTTCATGCATTATCCTACAACCACAAACCTGAAAACACCCTTTTGAAATAGCAAGAGTTACCTCATATTTATGACTACGCCTGTCCCACTTGCTGGAAGAATCTGTGAAATAGAGCACTCCACTCTTAGATATTGTCATCCCGTTTAGGAATTTAAATGGAATCCCATCCAAACCTTCAAAAAATATTCACAAATGGAATAATAATGCATTACACATGCCTATATACAGTACATATATCTCTTAATAGTTTTGCAGAATCTATAATCGCGGTAGAATTCAACAAGGCATTAATATGTAAAATGTCACAACCTGCCATTTGTAACAGACACCAAATGTTGAACACTAACCATTGAACACCAAACATCAACCACCGAAAGCCAAACACCAAATACACTACAAAAACTGGAGACTATAACAATATGTCACCACTTCTGGTAGAAACATATTTATAAACCCAGGTCTTACCATTGTAAGATTCAACAACAACAAATACTATACCCTGGAAGCTCAAGAATTAGACAAGGAATTAATATGCTAAATTGCCACCACCTGCCATTTGTTACAGACATCAAGCACCATCCACAAAAAAGTTGAAGACAATATGTCACCATTTGTGGTAGTGACATAAAAAAAGGAGAGACTCTGATAAATCAAAATGAGATCTTACTGTATATAATATATACTGTATGATACTAACCTTTTTCACTTGGCAGGAGGATGTTTACCTCTCCTGTTGTAGTGTTCACTTGTAAAAGTCCTTTATATGCGTCAGCAACATAGAGACTCCCTTTGTTGTCAATGGCAACCCCCTTTGGTCGACCACATTCTGGCTCTAGTTCAGGGGAACCTGCATAGGAAAACATGCATTCATTAAGCATCTCAAATCATGATGTTTTCTAAAAATGACAGAGGGTAATTCTCAGGCAATAAGTATTCACAGAAAAATGTAGAATATTACTAACTTGGCCCACCTTTTAATCAAAATAACACATATTCCACACACATTTATAAAAAAGAAATATGTTCATTTTAAGACATATCTATTACAATATTACAAACCCTAAGAAAATATTTTCACTTAATGTCTGTTATCATAATGATGCTTTACATTGCATTGCAATGAAATCCAACTTCTAGCGATTCATGATTTTATTTGGACAAATTTTAGTAAAGGCTTTGATACTAGGTCGGTCTTTTTGGACATTTCGGCCGCTTTTGATAGGGTACCACAGCACCTGTTAATACATAAGCTGAAAGCATATGGCTTTTCAGGAAATATTACTTCATACCTCTCAAATAGAAAAATAAAGGTCACAATAAATGGTAAATCATCTCAAACATCCCCGGACAACTATATACATGTAAACTGCAGTGTCCCTCAAGGAAGTATCCTTGGGCCGCTCCTCTTCCTTATATACATAAATGACTTGCCTTCAAGGCAAATGACTTCAATATTTTTGCCAACAAGCCCAAATGACAACCTATCTCATATTCAACTCCAAAACGATATTCAAAAGGTAGAAAATTGGTCTGACATCTGGAAACTTGAATTTAAGCCAGAAAAAAGCAAAGAGTTAATCTTTTCTAAGAACAATAATGCAAATAATTATCCTCCGATTGTGTTAAATGGCCATGCAATCACAAGAACTGACACCCACAAACATCTTGGCTACTACTTTGACAATAAGTTATGTGGGTCAGCTCACATCAACTATTTAGCCTCTAAGATCCAGACAGCACTTAATCCAATGAAAGCTCTGAAAGGAAGACTGAAGTCTAAACATCTCAATACCATGTATAATGCCTATATCCAGTCACTCTTTGACTACTGTGATGTCCTATATGATGGTGCAAATCAAATTGACCTAAAAAAGCTTAGTAGTTTACAGTACCAAGCTGGTCTAATTGTGTCTGGCGATTTGCCGCATGATTGTGTATTATGCCATGAAAAATATATCAATGAAATAAACCTATTGTTTAAAAAAAATGCTTTACCACATTCAGAATAATTGCTGCCTGTCCTAGCTAATAGTTCCAGGCTGTGGTCATGGAAACGCCAAATTTTGCCATCAAGACCCCCTGTGTAGAAAACTCCTAAAAATAACAATCATAAAATATCTTAACTGAGGCTTATATAAACCAAGCAACACATAAACTAAATAAATTACGAATACAAAATGGTACAATTTTACCAGTATAGACCATCATAAAACTGGAATAAGAATTGTGTTAGCCAGATGAAAAAGCAGTACACGAAGCAGAGAAAACCACAAAGGCATCATATCCTTGTATCAAATTCTATAAAACACATTAACACTCTACTATACCTTGCATTTGGCTTTCATGAGCAACCCATTTGGCTTATTAGTAATGATAATATATTTGTTTTTATTTGTCTGTTCCTTATAAATGGTTTATCGGTTGAAAGTTAGATGTTGATAAGGTACTTTCAAAAATATACTAAACAATCCAATTAGACAAACAAAGTATCTTATGCATTTCTAGGTGTTAGGTATAGTAGTGTGATTAAATACTTGTACCCTAACACATCTACATACCTTCCTTATCAACTGCAAGTGATTCAGGACCAAATACTCTTCCTTTGAACAATCTATCAGCCTTCTGTAGTCTTCTGTTTACTTTGAGGGGACCTGTCATCTGTGGAGGGTCAGCAAAACTGGAAAACAAAAAAAAATGAAGGGATAAATTCAAATATTGCTAATTAATGAATTAACTGACTTCACATTACAATGTTATATGGAACGAACAAAACCTCTCGTGATATCGAGTGTTCAATCAAGAAAATGATTGAGAACATTGGTAAAAAGAGTTGATGGCAAAATTGATCTCAAAAGTTTATTCTGCCCGAGTCAGCATGACTAGTTTACAATGTTTATATACTTACAAATATGGCTTTGGGTCAATCGGTGAAGGTATAAGGTAGACAGCCACTACTACACATAATCCAACCACTAGCAAATGCTGCGACAGGCTCTTCCTGGAAAATATAATAGGATAGAAAACATCAATAGCAATGCTGCGACAGTCTCTTCCTGGAACATATAATAGGATAGAAAACATCAATAGCAATGCTGCGACGGTCTCTTCCTGGAAAATATAATAGGATAGAAAACATCAATAGCAATGCTGCGACAGTCTCTTCCTGGAACATATAATAGGATAGAAAACATCAATAGTAATGCAGAGGAAATCACATGAAAATTAAAGCAATCAACGTCTCTCCCCTTGAAACCTCTGAGGTGCAGCATATATTCCCGTATATGCTACCTAAAATCCTCCATAAAAGTTGCAAAAAATAAAAACCATTTAAATTTTGCATAAAAAATTACAAAATCCTAAAATGTTGCACTAAAAATCCCCAAAAAATTAAACCATAAAAATTACAAAAGAATTTTTTTTACTTATACATATTACTTTGAATACCCTTTTTTGACCCATATCCATTTCATTTGGATATGGATATTTGGATATGATCTAAATAGATCCTTTAGAATCTAGATAGAGATCATATTTTCATTTCAGAATTTCCAAATACTGTAGATCTCATGGCCATTTCATAATCTTCAAATTTATCTGCTTTTATTAACTTATACCAGCTATTGATTTGCTCCATTCTCCAAAGAAGAATATTTATTTCAATGTCTGTTACAAGTAGGTCACTATGACCTGTAAATATTTATCAAACGTCATTTTCTAAACACTTACAAATAAAATAGCATTGCTAGAATATAATACAGTTCTGTTCAGAGAACAATTCAATATGAAGATCATCCATCAGTCAAACCAAAAATAACTTTAGGCTTCCAAATCCACATACCATAGTTCAAAAATTTGATTGACAGCTCTATATATATGTTGCTCTTCACCTTTTTGATTCATTAGTCAGTCCAATACTTTGTTATGGGTGTGAGATTTGGTATGATAAGAAACAGATGAAATCTATTGAAACATTGCATTTGTCCTTTTTAAAATCTATTCTAGGAGTCAAAACTCAAACAGCTAATCCTGCAGTATATGGTGACCTCGGTAGATTTCCCTTATCTATCAAAATTGAATTATCTTTGATAAAATACTGGTTAAGACCTATAAAACTACCAGAATCTAATATTTTAAATCAAGCTTATTTATATGGTCAAGAAAAACATGAATTAGGGTTTAAATCATGGTCTGAAAAAGTTTATGATATTCTTCACAAATGTGAACTAACAGAGTATTGGGATGACCAAAGTCAAAATACAGACAACTTAGTAAACTTGGTTGACAAGAAACTAAAGAATGCATTTATAAACTAGATTTTGGAAATTGAACGAGTTCAATTTCAGACTCCAGATCTAGACTTTTTTTAGCCGAGTCATCCAGAATAAGCCATGTCATCCAAAATAAGCTAAGTCATCCAGCAAAAGATGGATGGATGGATGGATGAAAAAGGAAGGAAGGATAGGATAGGAAGGAACGATAGGATAGAATAGGAAAGAAGGATAGAATAGAATAGGAAGAAGGGATAGAATAGGTTATAGGAAGGAGAGGATACGAAGCAATGGTAGATAGGAAGGACAGGATAGGATCAGAAAGGAAGGATGGATGCATTTTTCAATATTTTCTTCTCTACTCTTGACTTTCTATCAGGATACCATCAGATCGATTTTTCTTGAAATTTCAAAACGCCATGACTTCCGAACCGGAAGTCGGATCGAGATTTGATTTGCAGATTCGGATTCCTGACAAAATTCTACCCCTAATTCATAACTCATACGTTAAATTTGGCGAATTTTTATTTTGACCTACTTTTTGGACACGCCATAACTTCAGAACCGGAAGTCAAATCGAAATTTGGTTTGCAGATTCGGATTTCTGAGAAAATTCTATTCTAATTCATAACTCAAACATTAAATTTGAAGAACTTTTTATTTTGACCTTCTTTTCGGACACCGTATCTCAAAAGTGGGTCAGAATACTTTCTGACGGCAAAAGGCTACCGCTATAAGCACAGTCTTGGCTACATGTATACACAATTTCGAGGAATATAATTAAAGTGTAGTGTCAGAATCGCAAAAATAAGGATAAACTATGAATTTGACCTAGATTTTGACCTAGGGATTTTGGTGTCCAAATTTTGAAGTTAGGTAGCCTTCGAGGTTCCCTTCTTTCATAGGCTTTCATTATTTTAAGCTGTACTTAGTCTATATCTCGTATTTTACACTTCAAAAAAATCTTTTTTCCCATTGACATAACATGGGGCACCAAATTTAGCGATTTTTGAGCTTTCAAAATGTCATAACTTCCGAACTGGAAGTCGGATTGAAATTTTGTTTGCAGATTCGGATTCCTGAGAAAATTCTACACTTAGTTCATAACTCACACGTTAAATTTGGAGAATTTTTTATTTTGACCTACTTTTCGGACACCATATCTCAAAAGTGGGGCAAAATACTTTCTGACGGCAAAAGGCTAACACTATTAGCGCACTCTTGGCTACATGTATACAAAATTTCGAAGAATATAATTAATCTGTAGTGTCAGAATAGCAAAAATAAGGAAAAACTTTGAATTTGACCTAGATTTTGACCTAGGCATTTTGGTGTCCAAATTTTGAAGCTAAATGGCTTTTGAGGTCCCATTCTTTTAAAAGCTTTCATTATATTTAGCTGAACTCAGTCTATATTTCGTATTTTTCACTTCAAAAAAATCTTTTTTCCCATTGACTTACATGGGCACCAAATTGAGCGATTTTTGAGCTTTCAAAACGCCATAACTTCCGAACCAGAAGTCCAATCCAAATTTGGTTTTCAGATTCGGAATCCTGAGGAAATATCCTATAAGACTAATATCCTAGACATTTGATTCGGAGAACTTTTTTTGGACCTCGTTTTCGGACACTGATATCTCGAAATCGGTTTGAGATATCAAAAAACTAAATCGACCCTAGATTTCCTACTTTTTTATGAGGAACACAATGAAAAAAACCCGGATCGAAAATATTGAAGGACGACCGAGAAAATCGAAAAAAGTGACAAAGTACTGGATTTGACCTAGTTCTTGATCTTTGACCTAGATAAAAATTTGACCCAATTTCCAGAGAACTAGATTCTGAACCTAAATTGACTATATGATTGTCTTAACTGAAGATCTTACGGTTATTGAGGAAACTTGCTTAGAATAATAATAATAATAATAACTAGATTTTGGAAATTGAACGAAGTTCAATTTCAGACTCCAGATCTAGACTTTTTTTAGCCGAGTCATCCAGAATAAGCCGAGTCATCCAGAATAAGCTGAGTCATCTAGAAAGAGATGGATAAATAAAAAGGGAAGGTAGGATAGGATAGAATAGGAAAGAACGATAGGATAGAATAAGAAAGAAGGATAGGATAGAATAGAATAGGAAGAAAGGATAGGATAGGAAGGATAGGAAGGAAAAGATATGAAGAAAGGATAGATAGGAAGGATAGGATAGGATGAGATGGGAAGGATGGATGAATTTTTCAATATTTTCTTCTCTACTCTTGACTTTCTATCAGGATACCATCAGATCGATTTTTCTCGAAATTTCAAAACGCTATAACTTGGTTTGCAGATTCGGATTCCTGACAAAATTCTACCCCTAATTCATAACACATACGTTAAATTTGGAGATTTTTTATTTTGACCTACTTTTCGGACACGCCATAACTTCCGAACCGGAAGTCTGATCGAAATTTGGTTTGCAGATCCGGATTCCTGACCGAATTCTACCCCTAATTCATAACTCATACGTTAAATTTGGAGATTTTTTATTTTGACCTACTTTTCGGACACGCCATAACTTCCGAACCGGAAGTTGGATCGAAATTTTGTTTGCAGTTCCGGATTCCTGACAAAATTCTACCCCTAATTCATAACTCATACGTTAAATTTGGAGATTTTTTATTTTGACCTACTTTTCTGACACGCCATAACTTCCGAACCGGGAGTCGGATCGAAATTTGGTTTGCAGATCCGGATTCCTGAGAAAATTCTATACCTAAGTCATAACTCATACGTTAAATTTGGAGATTTTTTATTTTGATCTACTTTTCGGACACGCCATAACTTCCGAACCGGAAGTCGGATCGAAATTTGATTTGCAGATTCGGATTCCTGACAAAATTCTACCCCTAATTCATAACTCATACGTTAAATTTGGCGAATTTTTATTTTGACCTACTTTTCGGACACGCCATAACTTCGGAACCGGAAGTCGAATTGAAATTTGGTTTGCAGATTCGGATTTCTGAGAAGATTCTATTCTTAATTCATAACTCAAACGTTAAATTTGGAGAACTTTTTATTTTGACCTATTTTTCGGACACCATATCTCAAAAGTGGGTCAAAATACTTTCTAACGGCAAAAGGCTAACACTATAAGCGTACTCTTGGCTACATGTATACAAAATTTCGAAGAATATAATTAATCTGTAGTGTCAGAATCGCAAAAATAAGGAAAAACTTTGAATTTGACCTAGATTTTGACCTAGGCATTTTGGTGTCCAAATTTTGAAGCTAGATGGCTTTTGAGGTCCCATTCTTTTAAAAGCTTTCATTATATTTAGCTAAACTCAGTCTATATTTCATATTTTTTACTTCAAAAAAATCTTTTTTCCCATTGACTTAACATGGGCACCAAATTTAGCGATTTTTGAGCTTTCAAAACGCCATAACTTCTGAACCGGAAGTCCGATCTAAATTTGGTTTTCAGATTCGGAATCCTGAGAAAATTTCCTATATGACTAATATCCTGGACATTTGATTCGGAGAACTTTTTTTTGGACCTTGTTTTCGGACACTGATATCTCGAAATCGGTTTGAGATATCAAAAAACTAAATCGACCCAAGGTTTTCTACTTTTTTATAAGGAACACAATGAAAAAAAACCGGATCAAAAATTATTGAAGGACGACCGAGAAAATTGAAAAAAGTGACAAAGTACTGGATTTGACCTAGTTCTTGACCTTTGACCTA